TAGTAGTAGTAGTAGTAGTAGTAGTAGTAGTAGTAGTAGTACGTAGTACGTACGTAGTAGTTAGTAGTTACGTAGTTACGTTACGTTACGTTACGTTACGTTACGTACGTTACGTACGTACGTACGTACGTACGTACGTACGTACGTACGTACGTACGTACGTACGTACGTACGTACGTACGTACGTACGTACGTACGTACGTACGTACGTACGTACGTACGTACGTACGTACGTACGTACGTACGTACGTACGTACGTACGTACGTACGTACGTACGTACGTACGTACGTACGTACGTACGTACGACGTACGACGTACGACGACGACGACGACGACACACACACACACACACACACACACACACACACACACACACACACACACACACACACACACACACACACACACACACACACAATGAATATCTATGTATTCTGTGGCTCTAGGAGGGGGGTTTGAAAGGCATTAGTGGTTATTAAACAGGGAGGTGCTATCAAATAGTTAACATCACTTGCATTATGGGTAAAGGTCAGGCTATCCCATGAATGATTTTCATATCCTTCATTATATCTGTATCTAGTGATCCTGTTACAGGTTTAAAGAGCACTGTGATGCAAAATCTGCTTTAATAAAAGCATTTTATATAAGGGTCCACACTTAATACAAATCTTATTAAAATCGCAATATAAAATAAGTATAATGTTTATTAAAGACTAAATATTATAATGTTGTTCGGCACACATCCAACCATGATCATTGATATATTTTTTTCAATAATGGGTACTTATTCACATATTGCAATAGCAGCCAAAATTATAGTAATTCCTTATTGTTTAAAGTGGACCTATCATGCTATATTTGAATAATATAGTGTAGGATTTATACTTTTTATTTTTCAAAATACCAAACAGATCATGCATTTTAGCCATTCCTCATTTCGCTCAATTTAACACTGTCTTTGCATGGCCTGATTCTGTGAGAACAGCACCATCTACAGGCCTGGCATATGTAATACAGCGTCTCCAGCGCTTTCGAACTGCAATGTCCGTGGCTGTCTCCTNGTGGCAATAACTCTCCTTACCAGCAGACGGCGGTAGTGTGTATTCATCATTCAAAAGAGGCAACAACCGGAAGACAGACTGCGTGATACACCGAGAGAAGAAGAACAGACTGCGTGATATAAACAAACAACAAATAGCGTGTGCGTTCCATTGTCACTCTACAGCGAGAAGCTCATGGGGCTTTCCCGAACCTGTGTCGAGAGCTGGAGTTAAATGAGATCTCAGATTTGCCTTCTTAATAGTTTGTTTGGGTCCCTCACTTCCTTTTCACTTCTCATGCACTGATTCGCTAGCTGAACAGCCAATCAGAGTGATTTCTTTTGCCGACAGCCCTCATCGTCGGCTTGACGCCAATCGACGGCCAAAATCGGCTTGGTGTGTCCGGGCCTTTAGAGCTTTAACCGCTTGTATAATCATGTCCTGGAAAAGATGGGAAAAATAATAATTCCAAGGCATTTGCCACAGAAGACATTTATACATGAAAGCACAGGTGTAAATAATTACATTAATGAAGGCTGATGGCCATTTAGTATAGCTTCAGTTTCAGAGTCCTGTAATTGTGCATGGTGACTTATTGTAAAACTGTCGGGGCTTGCTGTGATAGTCCAATAAAACAAAGCCTTTACGCTGTTAACATTATTAGTAACACCTGTGCTTTTTTCCTGCTATGGTAAGTCAAATGTCTGCTGTGAAAAAGGCCAATTATTTGTTATGGATGTTAGTTATGGATGTTTTCTGTTTTTTTCAATACAAAAATATATCCCTGTAAAAGATTACAGACAAACTGCAGTAGTTCAGGTTTGGATACGTTTTGCATTTTTAAATATTAATGACAGTTCAAGATAAGCACCAGGAACAAATTATAAAAATGATGAAAAGGTGTGTAGCTGTACCCCAAATATTGCCTTTATATGTGCAAATGTAAAAACAATTATCCAATAGCATTAAAGATGCATTATTCTTATTGTGCCTCACATTTTTCTTCACTTTTTATAATGATTGGGATGTCAATCATTTGCATTGTTATCAGCAGCAATTGTGCACTGGTATTGTTTTCACCATTCTGTTTGTGTGTAGTACACATTTACCTTCCAACCCTACCGATTTGGGCGGTAGTCTACCGCTTTTAACATGTTTCTACCGCCTACCGATTTAGCTGGCTTTCCCTACCGAATTTCAATCCTCCCAAATTATTAAAAATAAAAATGACATTCCATAGACACTGGACTCGACTTTTAGCGGAAACCGATTGCAGCGTGTCTGTGATACCATCATACAAACAGTCCTCTGTGTTTCTGACAGATAAAAAACGTGCAGAGGAAGGGCAGCGTTACCCCCGGGACAGCATTCAAGCCAGCCTCCACTTCAGAAAACACAGTCAAGCCAGCCTGCCACAGTCCCCCGGGACTAATAATAATCAGTCATCACTCCCAAATGAGTTTAGGGGAACAGAGACAAGGCATTTGAGTCCTGCAGGGTTTCCCCATTAATATCAGTGTCTCGAAAACACATGTTGGCGACTGAAAGACATCCAGTGTTTGACCTTTTACGGAAGCATCCTACAGGGTCTCAACTGAAAGAGGACCAGAAACACACAACACATATAATAAAATGTGGAGACTTTGGAATATTTATCTCCCATTCTTTTACTTTTGGACATTTTACAGACCAAACATGTCGTTGATGTCACTGTTTACCAAACTACCACAATTTCTGAAAAATGCATAAAATTATGCAATATATGTTAAATACATGGTTTATATATGTAATTACTGGGGTTCCATTTCTTCTGATTACCTAATTTGGGCATTCACATTTGCCATGCGCAAACCCACCTCTTTTGGATTTGGAAAGGTTGGCATGCATGCATTTATCCAAAGCTGTAGAGTACTTAGTAGAAGAGTTTCGGTCTGTCTTCTATCTGATCTAACCCCTGGCCAAAATTGGATCCAAGTGTAGGCAGAGAAATGTGGCAAGGTTCGAGCAAAGGGTGCCGAAGGTAGGTGGGTAAGAAGTTGTAAAGGTGCCATTGGCAAGATGGTCACTGTAATGACTTTCAATCAATCAATCAGTCAATCAATCAATCAATCAATCAATCAATCAATCAATCACATTTATTTATAAAGCACATTTCAAAACAACCCACGTTGTCCAAAGTGCTGTACAGAACAGAGCAGGTAGCTGACAAGACCTTTAAATAAATAAATAAGTAAGTAAAACAAATTTTAAAAAATAATAAATTAAATTAAATTAAAAAAGAACAACAACATCAACATACATACATACATACATACATACAGAAAGGTCATATGCACAACAAACATAGGCACAAGCACAATCAGCCGGATATGGAGGATTTGACTTAATTTCACCAAAAATGTAGTCTGCATAATCTGCAGGTGTTTTATGATGTTTTTAATTGTTTCCTTCTGTTAATTGAAGTCTTGTAAACTATTATCACTGAAGTAACTGAGCGCCTAATAAGACTTTGATTTAACAAATACGTTAACACCATTTGTTAAGAACTTAATGATGTTAAAGGTGTTATTGAGGTGACAATGTTTGAGGGCTCATTCTCAGCTGATGTCAGTTCATTTTCAGACATAATCTGGTATTCAGAAAGGCAGAGAGGCCAACAACCCTATCATCTTGGCATAAACACCAAACAAGCAATAACCTAATGTACAGTTCAAATCAAATATGCTTTAAAACTTTATCACAAGATTAGAATAAATGCTATACTAAATCAGTTTGAGTGTACCAGCTTTTGAAATATAACATTGTATGCAGGAAGTGAATGGAGATGGAGATTTGCTTTATTGTTTACCGCATGTGCACTTACATAAAAGTGAGCAAAATGACAAAAGAAGAAGAGGTATATTGTTGATTATTCAATCAGTGAATATTTTCTACGAGGATTGTTTTGGTATGCAAGTACATGCACTCTTTTCTAACTTAAAGTGTCATTTTGAATAAAAGAATAAGAAACAATGAGTAAGACTTGTTAAGTACCATAGTGTGTTTCTCAGTACATTTAATGTTTCTTGGAAACAGAAGACTCAAAAACATGAATTTCTTCTTTGGGGACCAGTGGAGTATCACAAAAAAACAAATGTAGCATAACACAGGCGGTGCAGAGACTACCGTGATGGATCATAGTCTTCTGCCAACGTGATATCTAAGCGTCCAACAAAAGAAAATAATTTAGACTAAATCTTAACAGCTGACTAAAAGTATATCATGTATTGCTCTTGAGGAATTATACATTGGTGTGTGGCCTGATTGATTGACTCCAAAAATAACTAGATATCGTGCAAGAATCTCAAAAGGCGAAGAATTTTCCAATTTAGTTGATTTGGAAAAGATTATACCGGCGAGAAATGAGCTCAGGCTGGTTGACAAAATGTTAAACTGGGTTATCATATTGCACACATCTTTCATACTTATTTTCTATAGTCCTATAATATCTCCTGTACAATAATCATGTTTTGAACATTCGTGGCACCATTACAGTGGATAAAATTGGTAATTTGGATCATAATTGTCGGAAAACGTTATTGTTTATACGATACAGTGATATGTGTATGAAGATGTGAAGATGGCTAGGTGTGAAGTCTCTGATAATAACAGGACAACAACCAAGACACATCACCAACCTCATGACAGTAACTTCCAATCATGCCACGGTATTAAAAACAAATTTTTCCCATGACATGACCTAATAAGCTGTCACATTTTAGATCCCGATAAAAGTGGTATCGAGTTAATCATTCAGCTGATGCAACTATCAGCGGTGGAATGATTTGCATACTATCA